CAACCTATGAAGCGATTCGCAGCCACCGCAGCAATAGTTCGATCCCCAGCCAGGGAGCTACCCACATGGTGCAGCAGACCTCTCCTGACTCACCCGCTGCTCCTCTGAGCATTGTTTCAGTCAATCTTTCTGTTCTGTTCCCCGTTCTGTCTCTGGTGAATCCTCTCACCCCCTGCGCCTCTGGCCTGTACCCCAGCTCTTGTATGCATAAATAAATGCTTTAAAAAAAAGAACAATAATACTAATAGTAGCTTCCTAAGCCCTCTTTCCCACATTTCCCATACTCCAGAGAGAAACCTCAAAAATTTAAAGTCATTATTTTGGTATTTATATCCTTGTCTCTAAATGACATAATTATATCATTGATTCTTGATTTTTTTTTCCATTTTAGATATTATGCATAGATTCCTCATCCCTAATCCTTCCAATAAATCAATGTGCAAACTGGTTGGGGTAGAAGCTCAGTTCTGGCAGTCAATAGAAAACTTTTATTTAATCCGTCTATTTTTCATATTGCCTCCTTGTCCCAACCCAAACATTCTCAACTTCACCATTTCCAGAGAATTAACATGCAGGCCTTGCTGCACAGTAACTGATCTGTGTGGTGTGAGGGATGGGATCTGGGATCTGACAACATCTTAGATCTTTAATAAGTCTACTTTAGCCTCATCATCATTCCTACTTCTGGAGACACTGGTGCTGTGAAATCCTGTTCCTTTTGAGAATTTATTGAATTGAATCAGTTTGTGCCATAGTGTCCCCCATTGTTGCCTTCAAATTGATTTAGCTTTTGAAGCCTGCTCAGCCAGTGATCAACCTTTCACCTGCTTTTTCTAGCTCCTAAAATTGTGCTTCTGTTACTTTTTTCTGTTCTCTTTGTCCTTGTGATGTATGTCTTTTATTTTTGTTTTTTTTTAATTATTATTTTAGATATTTTTACATCATTTTTCATTTTTGTACAATGTATGCATTTTCATCTTGGTTATAGTTAACACTATTTTTGTTGGGCTTCAGAAGTGAGTAAGACTGATGCACGAGCTGACCTGCTGCTCTCAATTAGAAATGCCCCTGCCTTGGGGCTGTGCCTGCACCACCCCCCTACCACGACAGCTCCCTGGGGTCCACGATGCCCAGTCCATGTGGCTCTGCCCCACCAGCTCCTTTTGGACTCATAAGACTGGTTCACAGCTCTCTTGAATTCATAAAATTTGATTTTCACCCCCAAACAGTCATTATAAGCACCTCCCCTGTGAGAACACAGTGGGTAGAACTGTGGGCAGGTAGGTTCTCAGAAAGACCAGAATTCTTCCCCTCATACTCCCCACCCTGTCTCTGTGCAGCTGTGACTAAACTTCCAGACTGTCTTGTGTGGTAACATTCAGATGTGTCACAGAGTGGCCCTGCTGGGGGCCTCAGAAGTGACATCAGGCTGCTGACTCATGCCAGGCTCTGTGGGGTGGCCTGGCAGGTCAATACTTGAGCTTTTCTGCATCTGGTATAGGATCTCAGCCATCTGCCCTGACCTTAGGACACTCACTCAGGTGAGGCCAACTCTCAGCACACTAGGTCACCTCCCTGCATGCTTATGTATTCCCTTATCACGGGGGTGTCTTCTCCCAACAACCAAACCATTGATATCATTCTCCAGCGTGTTCCATCTCCAGTACCAAGTCAGGAAGGAAACTCAGTGTTCAGATGCCTTCACGCACCAGGATGCACTGGTCACACGTACAAACACGGCTTCCCGCTAATCCTCACGTGGACCCTGGGAGGAGTCGTCCCCACCAATGGCTCAAGAGGCTGAATACAAAGCGGGGGAGTGAGCTCCAGGACCTCCTGGGCCCTCTACCTGAGGCTTCTGCCTCGAACTCAAGACGAGACAGAGAGCATAAGAGGGGCTCGTGAGTTCACATCGCAGGGAGTTCAGGGATCAGAAAGAGTCTGTGGACAGGTGGGACGGAGGGGAGCATCTGGATGAGGGTGCAGCCCACAGCACACATGAGCCCCGGGAAGCCCAGGATAGAGCGAGTCGAGGGACACAGAGATGAAATCGTCAGTGCACAGCCGAGGCCCCTTGGAGCCCAGCAGACCCTGCTGCTGAGACTACTCTCTAGGGAAGCTACCAGAAAGACTGGGATTTTCTGTCTTCATGTGACACATTGCGATGTGCCAGTCCTTCAAGTCGCTGAATATTTTTTCCAATGTGGCTGACCTCCCTGTACTGGAAAGTCCCTGTGAAGACGCTAACTCAGTAATCACTGCCTTCCTTTCTACGCTGTGGTCTCTCTAAATTCCTCCAGCTTGAACAGACACTGATGACCAATAAATCAAGGACAGTGGACCTGTGGCTCCCCCACTTGAAACCCATTAGAATTACCTGAGAGGTTGTTTTAAAAAAGGGAGACTTGGGGGGCCTCCCCAGTGGCACAGTGGTTGAGCGCTGGGTTGTGAAGCTGCCCGCAGCCTCTGCGGCGCCAGTTTGATCCCCGGCTGCTCCCCGGCCCCGGAGGAGGGTCCCACATGGCGCGCAGACCTCTCCTGCTGCCCGCTGCTCCCCTCAGCAGTGTACTTCGGTCCTTCTGCCTGCTCTGCTCCCTGCTCTGGCTCTGGTGAATTCTCTCGCCCTCCCTCACTTCTGACTGTACCCAGTGCATGTATAAACAAAAACAAACAAACAAACAAACAAATAAATAAATAAAACATGCCTCTATTAAAAAAAAAAAAAGGGGGAGACTTGGAGCCTCAACCTCATCTACCAAATCATTGCTTTTTTTTTCTTCTATGAGCCCCACAGGGAAACTTCTTCTTATTCTTCTTTTTTATTGTACTGTTTTTTTTTTAATTTTCTTAAAGATTTATTTATTTATGCATACAAGAGCTGGGGTATAGGCCAGAGGTGCGGGGGGTGAGAGGATTCACCAGAGACAGAGTGGGGAGCAGAACAGGAAGATCTACTGAAATGCACTGCAGAGGGGAACAGTGGGGAGACAGGAGAGGTCTGCTGTGCCATGTGGGTAGCTTCCTGGCCGGGGATCCAACCCATGCTGCAAAGGCTGCAAATAGCTTCATAGTGCTGAGATTTAACCCCTTGAGTCACCAGGGAGGCCCCCACTCAGGGAATCCTCTGCAGCTGGCCTGAGGTTCCTCAGGAGGCCTGTACTCTGGGACAGGGCTGGGGGGAGGCCACACAGAGCCAGCCAGCTAGGTGCTGGCACTGCAAATCTTGAGCAAGGCCCATGATGTCTGCCTCATGGCGGAGACTCTAGCAGGGAGGGGACGTGTCTCATGTGAGTAGATGCTATGGATGTTCACTTCTGCTCCCTCCATCCTGGCTGTGCTCACCCATTGGCCCAACTGACTGGTGACATTTTCAACCAAGCACTCCAGGCCACACCAAGACAACTGGTCATTGTCCTCAAGAAGCTTATTCACTTTGCATTTCAACAGTCCCAAGACGCACATATTTTTTCACATGCTAACATCTCAGCAATGAAGATGTAAAAGTTCATTGTGTCTTAGCATTTGTTTTCATGCAGTTGAGAGTGTTTTTCCTTAACAGTGCCACTTAAAAGCAATGGAACACAGTAGCTGAAAAGGCAACAATATACTTGTGGGAACAGGGAACTCACATGGACCTTGCTCATGCTGTCCCTCTACATGAGTAAATCTGCCCCTCAACTTCACCATCTATTATTCTATTACAACTCGTTGCAGTTAACACTTCCTCCTGGAAGCCTTCTGTGTCAGCTCAGTCCCCCCATGCAGTCTGGATTCAAAGTCCTTCCTCTTGACTCTTGGGCTTGCCTCTGACCCATACTGTCCTGTCGTTTGTCTACCCTCTCTCCCAACTTGATTGTAAGCCCCTTGAAAGCAATTGTACACCTTTGTGTTCCTGGTACCTAGCCTGCTCCATAGTGGAAATTCAGTAAATATTTGTCGAATGAATGAATGATGGTAAATTGAATCACTCCAGGCATTATATGTTCTGTGCCATGTGCAATACCACAGAATTTCAGAAGAAATGCAGAGCACAGGCCTGGAAGGGCCAGGGAAGGCTTCATCAAGACAAGAGCTATTCTGGCTGGAGAAATGATGGGCTCAGTCAGAACTGCCATGAGGAATAAGAAAGAGCCAGTGCTAAGACCTCCTGGGAGGTAGGTCTTGCAATGAGTGTTGCTTGGTTGGATTTTGTGTTTGGATTTCAGGAGACCATGAGTCTCATTCATCACTATCCTTAATAAGTAACTCTGGGTGCTAAACAATAGACCCTCAGGTTCAGAGGAAAAAGCAATTCAAGCCTTAGCACGTTCTCACAGGAAGTTCTAAATGCACATAGATTTTGTGGTTTAGACCTCAGAGCTTCCTGCTGAAGCTTGACAAGGGTTAGCAAGTCTAAGAAGCTAGGAGAAGGCGGGCGGACGGACCACAAACATGGCACCCACATTTCAAAGCAGGTGTGTACTCACAATCTATTGTCTTATAACCTTAACCGAAAACTGTTTTTTCCCCTACTCCCCCTGAAGTACACTGAGCATGGCGGCTAAGCAGGCAGGGATTCTGACCTTTTCGCAGTGGTCTGTTAACACACTGAGGAGTTGAATCAACTGAGCTGTATCTTCTCCTGCCCTTGTGTATTGTCTGACAGGTGCCTGGCACCTCCACTATTAATGGACCCCCCTCTTCTCAAGGATGACACCACAGATCTTTGTGACCGTGTCTGCAGTCACAGAAGCAAGACCCTGATGATTATGTTTTTGGTGACTTTCATTGACGTTTTTCATAGAAATGTCACTCATCATAGAAACTGGCAAATAAGAAATGGGGTCAAGTTTGCAGCTGAGACCTGGGGAGCAGATTCTGGTGTCTTGGTGGGGATTAAGATGGCTTGGGTGAATTGGGGTCACCAAATTTGCTGCTGCTGTAACCCTAAGAAGCCTGTTTCTCGTTCCGCTGAGCTCCTTTCTACAATGAGTAGACAACAGGGTGAAGTTAAAGCCTTTATTCACTTCTGTTCACCAGAGGGTGGGCCAGTGTCCACCAGACATATAAGAAACCCAAGAGTGGTGGGCTATGCCCACCAGGTGGGCTGTGCCAAGAGACACGGGAATAGAGACTACCAGATGCTCACATCTGGGCTTGACCTCAGTGAGAAGCAAGGATCTCACCAGGACTTGCGCTCCATCACCCTCGTCCAAGGAATGAACTTGCACTGCTGTCCCTTTTTGGTGCAAGGGAGATTTACGAAGAGACGCTCCAGATGTTAGATCACGTGGCTGAGTTAGCTGTGCAAATGTGGCTGGCTGTGGCCCGTGAGCTGGGGAGGTAATGTACTCGCAGAGCACGCTACCTCACGGAAGTGCAGGTGTGCACACCTGGGGTGGAGGCATCCCACAGAGCCTGCTGTGGGAACGCAGTTTCCATCACTTTCAATTAGAGGGAAGGGACAGCCTCGTCAGGAGCAGATTTAGAAGTTGTCTGCAGCTCCGTGGGGAGGTTTCGGGCAAACCCGAGGTCTGGGCAGGGGAGGGCCTTTCTGCTGGGGACCTTGAGCACCCGGGTGAGGCAGGGGCCTCTTCTGCTGCTGGTGCTGGCCTCGGGGGCCAGGAGGTGGGGGGCGGAGACCCGCCGCCTGGGAACGACGAGCCGGCGGAGGAGGTTGCAGCAAAGCTGGATTTGGAGATGCTGAGCCTGGAATCTGGTGGGGCATCGGGCCCCCATCCTTGGCAGTTACTCTGGGCTCTCTTCTCTCCTCCTCTTCTACAAAAATAGAACCTTTGAAGAGTTCAACTTGGTAAGATAAGATCAATGCAACTATTTATTGGGGTACCTCCCACCTGCCAGGCTAGCTGCTGGGGGTGAGAAAGAGGAAGCAGAGGCCACCTCGATTCTCTGAAGGTTTCAGGCCTTATGGGGGAGACAGAAACGATCACCAGAGCAAAGGACAGCCTGGGCTTCAGAGAACTCGGGCAGCCAGAGGACCCTGAGCCTGGGCCGCCCCCCCACACCATGGGTGCCCACCCCTGGGCCGCCCCCCCCACACCATAAGGCCCACCCTTGCTTTCCTAGCAACCAAGCCCTGGCAGTGAGCATGGTATAATGGGCTCTGGGTAGCCACAGAAGCCTGAGTAACTTCTCCCCCAAGACAGCTTTCTCCGTTAGATCCTCCTCACACCCCATTCTGCTGAAATCCTCCTGTCACCCCCGGGATTGTGTGGCTGTAGTGTGAAGACAGGTGCTCGATACACAGTGGAGTCGGTTTTTAACATTGCTGTTTGAAGATCACACAGGAAATCTGTGAGATGCTCAGCTGCTATAGACTGGAGGCCCTGCGGGGCCCTTGGCCTCCTTGGGCTACGGTTCGAAACAGCAGTCCCTGAGCCCAAGGCCGCCTGCACCTGCCCTGAGGAGCTGGGCGCGGGAGGGTCCTGGTGACTGAGCGGCCCCTCTGTGTGATGTGCACCTGAAGGAGCAGAGTTCGGCTTCTCTGCCCCTCAGCCTGTGACTGTTCAGAGTCTGACTACTAGAAATCCAGGCCTCAGGCAGCCACGAGTGTGCAGACTCCAAATCAGATGACAGGGCTTTGGCAAGTGAGAGGCGGCGCTCAAAAGCACACAAGTTGCAGAGCACAGAGAGGGAAAACCCTCTGCCCATCTCTAGGGCCCTGAGGTCATGCCCAGGAGGACCCTGGAGGACTTTGACCTGGCTCGATTCCCAGCCAGGGGACAGTGGGAGTCCCGTGTGCTCCCCCGTGTAGCAAGCCAGGGCAGGCCACCTGTTGCAGGACTGTTATGCCATGTTTTGTTCACTTGCTCTGCAAACATTTCTTCTCCATCCTCTAGGGGAAGGTGCCATGGCCGAGGCTCAGACACATCAGGAGCCTAACGTCGAGTGAGTGAGACAAACCAGGACTGCAAATCACAGTGTCAGTCCTGCTAAGAGTCCCAGTACCCCCAGAACGGCGCAGGCCCCGTGAGCTCTAGGAGGAGGAGTAGGATGTGGCCAGGGGCTGAGGCCTGCCCGGACGTGGGGGCCTTGGCGTGTGGTGCAGCCTCCGGTCAGAGCAGGCGCCGCCCCTGCACGCTTACGCCCACAGCCTCAGCCACTGCAGAACACGCCCCCCAGGCCCGGTGTCGGCCCCCTTGCCTGTCTCCAAGGCCAGGACACAAAGTGGAAGCAGAGCCCAGGCCTCGGGGTGTGCAAGGCCAGGAGTGACCCGAGGGTGCGGCTCTCCTTCAACTTAGCACCCTGCCTCCTGCTTATCTCACCCTCGTCCTCACTCAGCCTGTGACCACAGGCCTTGGCGCCAAGTGGACTTAAATTTCCTCATGTCTAAGGCTCCTAGGATGATGCAAATGGTTGCGCAAGGGAATGAGTGAATATGAAGCAGAGAGATTCGAATCTGGTTCAAGCAACCGCTTTGTCAAGGTGAACTAGTCATGTGGGTCATTCCAGCAGGGTATAAGCAGGGGTGCTAGTGCTGGGGCCTTTGGCCATTGGGTGACGGAGAAAGGGCTTTGGCAGTGGGAGGGGGACCGAGAACAGGCTGCTCAGGCAAGGGGTGAGGAAGCCACATCTGCCTACAGGACTCGGCAAGCAGTTCTGTTGAGTGGGGCAGCGTGTGGGCGAGGCAGAAGTGAAAGCAGGGGCTGTGTGGGGTGCAGGGCCGCGTGGCCTGAGGAAGACCCCAGGAAAAAGTACAATGTAAAGGAAACGAATCTGAAGGTGGCCCAGGCCGCCACTGCCGCGGTGGTTCAGCCCAAGTCCCTGTTTGGGTGCCGGGGACGGCTGGCACAGATGTGGGCTCGCTCTCGGGAGAGATGCAGAGTGAGGGGAGCCAGTCCTGCTGAGAATGTGACACTGGACAGACCCCAAGGAGCCTGCCTGCCTGGCTCCCTGTCCTCTGATGGCTGGACAGCCTTGCTGGACCCCCGTCCCAGTGGCCGTGGAGCGAGTAGTGGGTCAGTCTCTGCACACACTCCTGGGACAGCCTGCATGCCCCAGGCGACGAGCAGAACCTTTGCACTTTGGATGGGTCCTCATCAGGCCTGATTGAAGGAAGAAACACTCCCAGCCCTCACACAGCCCCCCTGAACAGCAAGCTGGGAAGGTGGTTTCAACTCAGGGGTCTAAACAAGTGTGTTGCTGTGAGTCCCTGCACCCTGAACCTTCACCTGTGCTCCTGTTTGCTTGGCCCCGGCACACCTTGGCCACCTTCTCTGGAGCCACCTTAGAAACAGGGTTGGGGCGCCTCTTCCTACCCATGTAGGGGTGCACAGCTCATTCAGAATATGTCTACACAGCCTGACCTTCGTCATCACAGGTGGTGGGTTCCAACGAGGCAACCTGGATTCAGCTTCTCAAGCCCCCACAGCATCACCACTAAAAATTTGTTTTTCAAAAAGCATGCTAACCACAAAATGGAACAAACTGTAACCACCGGTTACACCCCAGCATTCGGAAACTACCAGGCTCCACGATTCTCTTTCCAGACCAAGTCTCTCCATCCCGAGTTGTTTCAGTGGGAACTTTGTCCCCGGCTGCCGTGGAACTAGGAGGGTCTGGGGGGCGGGGGAGGGGGGTGTCTTACCATCTCTCCTACTGTTTCGTTTTCTCCTCTTGCTGATGTAGATTATGACCAACACCACAAAGACCAGCAAGAGGATGCCTCCCCCGCAGATGCCGATGATGAGATAAATGTCCACACGTTTCACTGTAAGAAAAGCAGAAATGAGCTGGAAAGGGTCCTGGCCCAGCGCCTGCGAGTTTGCTCTGGTGGGGTTCCTGCCTTCTGTGTTGAGCTCTAAGGAGCTAAAGGAAACTTTCAGCCTCATAAAGGCCAGGCTCGTGGGAGGTGATGAATTGTGTCAGGCCCTGCGAGGGCACCTGCTGCTTCATGGGCCAAGGCCCTGCCCCCGGCCTCCACCGAGGAGAACATCACAGAAGCCTACATCTGAGAAGTTTAGATACAATCTAGTGCAGAGAAGGGGGTTGAGTTGCCCAAGGGCCTAGTGTCTGTTCCAGAGTATTTCCCTCTATCAGCCTCTGTCTCCCTGTTTCTGCACTGTCTGTCCAGTTCCCTCCAATCAGAATTTTACTTTCTTACCCTTTTAGATTCCAAAGACTCAGGAAAAACATTTCACTTGTCCAGTCCAGACCCCTGCCCTCAGAGTCGTGCCCCCTCCCGGGTTTTCTGCAGCGTGTGATACCAGCTCAGATACGTGCGTGAGCCTCAGAGGAGAACTTGACCTTCAGCAGCCAGCCCCCCAGTCACTGTCACACAATGAGACAACAATGACTCAGCATTAAGGGAGATGGATTCTAGTCTTGGCTTTTCTGTGCAGCAGCTGTGTGACCTTTAGCAAGTTACTCCACCTCTCTGAGCCTGTTCGTTTCTTTGCAAGAGATAATGGAACACACGCCACAGGGTGGCAGTTGGAAGTCGAGCCATTGATGGAGGTGAAGGTGCTTTGTCAAATGTAAAATGACACTCAAAGGCGAGGTCTTGGTCTTCAAGAGCTCTCTGCACTGGTGTTTCTGGGTGCTATTTCCTGGCAAATGTGCGTCTATCTGCCCTTTATGAGTTAACAGCAAGTGGGGCAGGGGTCAGGGAGCTTGGCCTTCTGGAAGCTGAGCCGAGCCCAGCATGGCGTCACCAGGTCACCCTTCTCCAGCCAAACACTCCTTTCTGGTTGAATGTGGGCTGGACATATTGAGTTGCTGCTAATGAGTAGGATATAGCGGGGGTGATGGGATGGCACCTCTGAGATTAAGTCACAAACAGACCATGGCTTTTGTCTTGGACACTCGTGTTTGCTCTCCCTGGGCTGTCTCCAAGGGGGGCTAGCTGCCATCTTGTGAGGGAGCCCAATGTCCCCTGGGTGGGCTTGGCTGTGCATCCCCCCCATGGAGCCTGGATGTGGTCACCAAGGGTGCAGCCCCTGCCAGCGTCCTTCCTGCAGCTTCATGAAAGATACGGAGCCAGAACCACTAAGTCACCCTCAGAGTTGCAGTTCACAGAAACTCTGAAACAGCAAGTCCTTGTGGTTTTAAATCACCTCAATGTGAGGTAATTTGTCCTGATAACTAATTCAAGTGCTATAAAATCCTCACTTATAGGCCTCCCTGGTGGCGCAAGGGGTTGAGATGCAGCACTATGAAGCTGTCCGCAGCCACTGCAGCATGAGTTCGATCCCCAGCCAGGGAGCTGACCCACGTGGTGTGCAGCAGACCTCTCCTGTCTTGCCTGCTGCTCCCCTCAGCAGTGTATTTCAGTAGATCCACCTGTTCTGCTCCCCACTCTGTCTCTGGTGAATCCTCTCACCTACCACATCTCTGGCCTGCACCACAGCTCTTGTATGCATAAATAAATCTTTAAAAAAATAAAATAAAATAAAACCCTCATTTATGACCACATCAGCCCAGGGATGCTTCCTGGGGTCACTGGCCAGCCACTAGTCTCTGTACAAACTCAAGGTCTCTGGGCAAACAGCAACTTTTTGTGCTTAGTTAGCCTTCAGCGGGGCTGGAAATAAAATCAGAGTATCAGACACATAGACTCTCAGGATTAGGAGGCTGAAGTCCAGAAAGAGGAAGGAACCTTGTCAAGGTCAAACTGCTAAGTCTGGACAAACTCGAAGCCCAGGCCCCTGGCTTCCAGCCCAGAGCTTAAGCACAACACTTGGCTGCCTCTTGAAAATTGCACCCGGGGCCGTGACAAGCTGGAACAGCAGGGAAGAGCTTACACTTTGGAGTCTCAGGACTGTCTGGTGCTGGATCCATGCTTCCTGTCCACTTCGAAGCAAGGGAACGGCCCCCATTATGGCCGGGGCCCCTCCCCCGGACCCCGAGATCTTCCTCACCCCAGGCCCTGCACTGCCAAGCTTTCTATGACCCTTTCTGTCTTTGCCTTTGATAGGAGAGGCTGGCCACCCTCCTCCAGAAAGCCGTCTGTTTTGCCTCCCTTCTCCACCATGAGCACAGTCATGGCCACTGGCTCACCGAGGACCTCGGCCAAGTCAGTTTGTCTCCCTGGGAAATGGGTGTTTGCCTGAGATAACCTTGACAGCAACTTCCACTTCTTCAGTCTGGCAAGTCTTTCTCCCAGAGATCATTTTTTTAATTGCCTGAGTGTACGCTGTGCTCACAGGAAGACCCCCAAGGTGAGTGAGCACAGATGCCCCCTCCCTGTGCTCCAGGCTTCCCTTGCAGGAGTCCGGGAGGAGCAGATGGGTTTCCGCTCTCATCCTGGGCAAGACAGCCTTCCAGCCCAGCCCCCGCACTCTGGTGTGGGCCTGGCAAGCTGTGCCCGTGAGGTGAACTTGGGATGTTTCTCCCCAGTGGGGCCACGCACCTGGGCAATCGCCTGTAACAATTTCCATTATACTGTCCTCTGAGCTGGCATTGTTGCTCGCTGTGCAGTTGAAGATGGTGGTCTCCTGGCTATGGTTCTTCCATTCGTACCCAATGCTCATGGTCCCTATAGTACCATTTTTGACGTAGATTTCGTTCTTTTTCAGTGTTAACGCCGCGTGAGTTCCATTCACTAGATTACAGATCAGAGTTTTGTTCTCACAATGCCAGGTGATGTCAGGTTTTGAGACTGCCTCTGAAAAGAAAATGAAGATGCAATTCATAATTTCTGATTTAACAGACATACCTGTTTAAAGAGGGGGAATGAGCCTCCCTGGTGGCTCAAGGGGTTAAGTCTCAGCACTATGAACCTATCACCAATCACTGCAACTTGTTCAATCCCCAGCCAGGGAGATACCCACATGGCGCAGCAGACCTCTCCTGTCTCCCCGCTGCTCCCCTCAGCAGTGTATTTCAGTAGATCCGCCTGTTCTGTTCCTGCTCTGTCTCTAGTGAATCTTCTCACCCCTCCCTTCCCCTACACCTCTGCCCTGTACCCCAGCTCTTGTATGCATAAATAAATAAATCTTTAAAAAAAAATAAAGAGGGGGAATTCGATGGCTGGGACCAGGGCCCCATTTCAAAGACCCCTAGTTATTTTCAAAAATCATTTTAATTTTATTTATATAGCACATTCAGAACAAATCTACTTCTAATAAAGTTCACAGATATATCAGTAAAAAAGTATATGAAATGTTTATGGGATTTTTTATACCTTAAAATGTTTTCATATATATGACATCATTTAATCTTAACAGAAAGGCTGATGTTTTTCTTCCTGTTTTGTAGATGAAATGCCCAAGCCTCTGAGAGGTAAAACAGGTAGTCTAGGGGTCCCCACTAATAAATGGCAGATCAGAAGAGGAGCCCCTTTCTGGAGTCCAAGTTCAGCAGCATGCAGACACGAGACGGTTACCATACCTGACGTGTCCCAGCCTCGGGACTTGAGGGGCATTGCTTCAAGAGCAGCTAGGAGTCTTACCTTGGAGGCATCATTACCTGTGTGACCTGGGCGCTTGGTCACAAGAGAATGCCCACCTTCCCCACCCATGGCCGGGTCCTGGAAAAGGGGAACAGGTGGGCTGCTTAAGCTCCAGAGGAGGAAGCACCAGCCTCTTCCTCTCTCAAAGCCACTGTGCTCAGTGGACCTCACTTGACAGAGGATGATAAAACACATGCCCAACCTGAGTGCCCATCAAAGATGATTGGAGAAAGATGTGCGATACACACACAAACACACACACACACTCACACATATACAGTGTGGGAATACTACTCAGCCCTGAAAAAGGCGAGATTCTGTTATTTTCAATAGCATGGATGGACCTAAAGGTATTATGTTTAATGAAATAAGTCAGAGGGAGAAAAACAAATGCCATAAGATTTCACTCATATATGGCATATAAAGAGATAAACAAATGAATTAAATAAAACATTTAGATTATGAGACCAAAGGAAAGGGAGAAGAGGTAAATAAGGTAAAAAGGGGACAATTGCATGGTGAAGGATAGAATTGGACTTTCTGTGGTGAATATAACGTAATATATACAGATATTGCTTTATGATGGGGGCTGGAATTTATTTAATGTTATATGTAATGTTACATCATAAAATATTACAAAAAAAATTTCCATTTTAGAAAAAAGAAAAAGAAAAACTTGCCCTTTCTGGCCACAGGGACGCCCTGGCCTAACACGCCCTGGGCAAGTGTTAGGTACTAATAATATAGGTGACATTTGCACTCATGACCATGAACTCCTCCCCCTTCCTGATGTGATTATAGTCAAAGGCTGTGTCATAAGAGAAAAGGGCCTGCCCTTAGCAGCAGAAAGGCCGGGTCCAAACCCTAGTGCTGCCACTTCCCAGCTGTACAACCTCCTGTTTCTTCTTTCTTTTACTCAAGTGGACAGAACGTGCTGGAACACCAGAGTTCCGTGTGATCAGGTGCAGCAGGAAGGACAGACATCACCTGAGCCAGGCAGGGTCAGTGAGGGTCGCTGTCGAGGGGTCAGGCCCAGGCATTTACCCATCTTTTCAAATGGAAACACCCTCTTTTCTAACGCTGAATGTTCCATCATAAAATACACACAAGTGCCTTAAGATTAAAAATATCTTGCAGTTTCACTCTCCAGAAATAAAAATTATTGGTGCTTTACAGTATATCAATACCAGGTGTTCTCTTTAAAATATTTTAGAACGTACAACCGGATTGTATGATTTTGGAGCTGGTCTTTTTTCGTTCCTGATCTGTTATAAAATGCTTTCTTTTATGAATCAATCAATACACACCTCCATCAGCTCTTTAAGTAAGTATTCTTCCCTGAAATAATAAATTAGACACTGCTGGGGACTTTTCACTCCTCCCCTGGAGTTAGTTGTTTCACTCACAGCGTGGGCAGCCCCTGTCCTCACGCCTGTCCCCTCCACAAGCCCTCCCTAGGAGCAGCTGGACGGCGGGGGCGCCTCCCGAAGGCGAAAGCTCTTTGCTTCTGGCTGCTGGGATTAACGCCTCTGCTGACACCTGCTTTTAAGGGGTCTTCCACTGCCTTCTCAGCCAGAGGCAACAGCTCCCTTACTTAGGAGATGTGGGAAAAGGACTTGGCTCGGTTTTCTTGCCGAAGCCTGGTCCCCACACCTATCCCCAAGACATATTAACCGTGACATTCACCCTCCGAGCGACTGGAGCATTTGCCCAAGGCCATGTGGGTAGGAATGGTGACCAGAACACAGATGGAGTTAAAATGCTATATGACATTCACACACGCTCACACACACACTCACGCATATGCTCTCTCTCTCTCTCTCACACACACACACACACACACACACACACACCCCGAGTGTGGTGACTGTTATGCCACAGAGACATCGCTGCCTCTTGGCCAAAGAGTGTGAGCTGTATTTTGGGGACAGTGCTCTAAAATTAATGATTAGTGTCGATGGCACAACTCCATGAATGACTAAAAGCCACTGAATTGTACACGTTAAATGGGTGGATTTTATGGCAGGTGAATTATAATTCAAGAAGGATATTTGGGAGAAAAAAAATGGGGCCTCTTTGCTAAAAAAAAAAAAAAACCACCCTGGCTTTGGATCCTGACTTCACTCATGCAGAGGGAACACTTTGGGAAATTGTTTCGATTCCTGATAGATAATGAGGGATAGATTCCTGATAGATAAAAGAGCCACTGACTCTCTGGATTGCCAGGAACCTTACATGAGATCGCGTGAGCCAAGCACCTGGCCGCTAGTTGCTGGCCATTGTCATCACTGTAACTCCAAAGGAGATGCAACCTGGGGCCATGTTGCACCCAGGATCCTGGTGACCCACAGGCAAGACTGGTGAGGTCTGGGGTTCCCAGGCCCCCATCAGAACAGACCCCACAGGCTCCATCCTCAGTCCCGCCCCATTCTGGAAGGTGCTCCCCATTCAGGGACTCAGGATGAGGGTGTCACCATTCAGGGCCTCAGGAGGAGGGTGTCACTAGCAGGGAGCTGACACCTGGGGTGTTGGGGCAGGCTGCTGCCAGCCAACTGCTGAAGAGAGGTAGGGGGGCAACCCGGATCTGCAGGGAAGGTGACATTTCCTGTGTGAGCGCGGAAGCGTGTGTTTGCTTGCTGAGTCTCTGGCCCAGGCCCAGGCTGGGCTGCTGTGTTCCTCCCCAGGCCCAGTGACCTTCCTCTTCTCACTTCTGAGCACCCCAGGCTAGAGTCCTGTCAATTCAATCCCACTTTCTCTTCCCTCCTGGGGCACGCAGCCATCTTCCCTGCTCTTCACACATGGCCCTTGGTGAACTCACCCTTCCCAGTTACAGGGGCCGTCGGCCATTAACTCCGGCTGCTCGGTGCAGTCACCCGGGGAGCCCTCACCCCTGCTGATCCCCGGGCCACGCTAAGATATTTGGATTCTGTTGGCCCCGGAAGAGACTTAGGCACCACTAAATTTTAACAGCATCTCAGTTGATTCAACCAGGGCTAAGAATCACAACACAGCCTCCCACCTGACTTGACTAGAGCAGGCTCCTGACCAGTTTTTTCGCCCCCATCTTCAATGTCCACCCCTGTCCTTCAGGGCCTTGTGTGACACCAGACAAAGCCACACCTTGTATGTTTTCTACCCATATCTGCAAATATTCTCTCCTACCTTCCATTACTCTGATGTGGAGAAACAAGGACTGTTCAACCTAAATTCATTATTCCCAGCACTTTCTGCCATTTTACTAATGACTCCTTCCAGCACCCTGGCTAGAAATTGTCTCCTTAGATAGGAGACCCCTTGTTCTCCAGCCAGTCTTCCCCCCCTGCCCCGTACCTAACTCACCCCCTCATCATTCCCCCTTGAATGAGCACCTCCTTTTTCCTCTGTCCTTCCCCTGACTAAAGCCACCTTAATCCAGCCTCCACCCCATACCTCTTTAGCCAGTGAAGAGAGAGTTTGGGGCAGACAGGCTTGAGGGGCTACCAAGGGTGTGTTTCTACGTGGGTGATTCAATCCCTCCCTTGGGATCACAGGAATTGCCAGTGAGCCAGGAGGGAAGCATTCACTGTGCTTGGGGGCTCCCCCAGGGCTGAAATCAGGGCCAGGAGCATTCCATAAATATTATTCCCCAGCTTGCTAAATGGCACCCCTGTTGAGATGGAGAAACTTAGGGAAAAAAGACTTACCTAAAACCTTCAACTCATAGGTTTCACGATGCAGCCCTTTTCCCTGTGCATCAAATATTTCAACCAAGTAATGACCACTATGGCTTCTCGCCAAACGTTTAATTTCCAGAGTTCCATCTTCAAACACTTTGTATGGTCCCTCTGTCTGGGGCTGCTTGATGCTTTTTTTGAATTGAACAATATTTCCAGGTATCTTCCAGCGAATGTTGTCTACAGTGTCACTGGTGTTAAATTTAATTTCCAGGTGGAAGACACGATCCAGGGCACCCCACTTGACAACGACGTCAGTCCCTGCACCTGCACCTGAAAAAGCAAGACAGTCACTGAGGTCTCGAGAGGCCCTGCCAAGGAAGGCTGTGACCATCTTGGCCCTCCCGCTCACTTCAGGTCTCCCAAGAAGTGTCCAAAGTTGACCGTGAGATCTTCACACCGACTTACCTTTGAGGGAGAAGCAGCAAATCAGAAGGAAGCTGGCTAAGATTTTGTAAGCAAGACTCATCTTTGGGGTTCGTTTCCTTGTGATTCTGAGCTCTTCTGGCAAAAGGAACTGAACTGAGACGGATGGGATCCACCCCCGGAGAGCTGAACCACGTGTCTCTCTTTTTTTTACAGTTACACACAGGCATACATGCACACACACACACACAGGCACACACACAGGCACACACACGCACAGGCACACACACACATTGGCACACTCAAACCAAGCCTGCTGATGGGCTCTTTTCTGTGCAGGTATGTTTAAGAGTGTGTTTTCTTATCACATTTTACTATCATAACGGGTGGGTCTTAACCCCATTGAAGAAAAGAGGAACTGAGCGGCTAAATAAAGTCACTCAGGACCACCCTTGAGTGAATGAGGAACCAAATGCAACACACAGCCCATCTTCTCCCCACCCTGCAGGCTGCATCTCACAAGATCACCTAGAAATGCAGGTAAATGTTCCCTCGTGGGTAGCAACATGCAAATATTTATCCTGTAGCTGCAAATATTGGAAAATGCCTTCCTGTGAAGTCATTATGCTCGTTCCCAAAAGGTGTTTTTAATGTTCTAAAATTGTTTTTGTTGTAAAAAAAAGACAAATATAAATTGAGCCTCAGCTGTAAATGCTTAAAATCCCCAGATCTTATGTAACTGCCATCCTTCATCAGTCTATTGAAATTCAGAGTCAGGTGAATAGAAACTTGCTCCAAAACAAATAAACATGTGTGGAGACAACGAAATCGTAGTAAACAACTAGAACAAATGATTCTAAAACGTTTAATATGGCGAATGCAAGAGATGGCTACGCAGAGGAACAGAGAAAGAGAGACAGAGGCTTGAGGGAGGCAAGGAGAGAGAAACGCGTATACAGGATGAAAAACAGAACTATGTAGCCAGGCACACAAGACATCCCATCTCAGGGAAGACACCAGTGGCAGACTCCCAAAGTAGAGTTCCAGTTTCATGGTTCTTTAGGATAGGCTGAGTGAAAATCTCTGAAATTGTGCTTATTTTCTGTTTCACCTTTAGTTCAAGAATGGATCTTTCAGCAAGTTTCCCAGATAATGAAGTTAAGTCAACGTGGTGGCTCTGAACTGCTGGGTTAAAAGAAGACTGAAGAGTGTATTTACCTCAGGATTGTGGGACAAATCCCTAATTCACACCAGCTATAAAAACTAACCAGAGTTGGACTAAACTCTTCCCTGTTAACAAAAACTATAATAATGTTAGAACCTAAATATAGGGGGATATTTTCATGTGTTGAGTAAGAAAGGCCTATAGACTAGATGTCCGATCCAAAGTCATTTTTTAAAAAGATGGGCTGATGAGCTAAATGAAAATGTGGTGTTTATGAATCAGCAAAGAAATGATGGACAAAATGAAAAGACATGACTGAAAATTGTTGTGATATTAGTGAAAATGTATTCAAATCCAAGCTATGCAAAGCATTTCTATCAATCAATGAGAAAAACTCAGTGTCTGAAATGGGCGAAGGCTATAAATGAGCAGTTTATGGAAGAAAGACTTGGTTGGAATACTAATATACAGACAAGAAGACATCTAATGTCACCAAAAATACAGCCATCTTCTGCCGCTCATGATGGGCTCATCATGATAAACCCGTGCTGAGCCCAAGACCTCCGAAGTGGAAGTGTGCTTAATAACCTGCCAGGAGCACAACTCAGCCCAGCCACACAATCCACAAAGACTCGGTGGTCACCCCAGTGTGGGCTGGAGCTGATTTTCATAGCTGCTGCTCAAGCATCACCAGAGACTCAACCTCCAACCCAGGAAAAAGTCAAAATTCAAAATTCCATGTACTGTTGCATCGCCGTGTAAGGCTCACCCTGTGTGAGTCAAAACATCATTAGTCAAACACTTATCAGCTGGGAGCTGTCTGTGTCTCTGTCACAGCCGTAAGAGGCCACTTTTCACCATCTGGCTGGCAAAATCAGAAAAGACAATGTTATATGATGGACAAGAAGCTGGGGGAAATTGGCAACTCCATGCAGTATTGGAGAGAACGTTCATCCATGCGTCCTGGAAGGCAGAATTTGGCAATTTCCATCAAACTTTAAAATATATTTTTGGGGGGGACTGGTAATTTTAATTTGAGGAATCTATTCGACATCAATATTTGCAGCAAGAGCTCTCCTGCTGAGGCTGCCCGCCCACGACTGCAGGCGCCACTCCTAACAAACTGTCCCTTTGCGGGCCGCTCTTTCTGCCCGTTTGTGTCTGTCTGGGCCAGTACTCTTGACTTCCTTTCCCTCTTTAAAATATACCTGCCCTTTAGGATATAAAAAAAAAAAAAACTTACATAAATGTGCAAAAAATCTGTTCAAGAATATTTGTTGTAGAAGTTTTTGTAATAAAAAATGCAAACAACTAAAATAACAGTATATTATATTATGAAATATTATATAACAATTAAAATAGAATAAAGTGGACCTAAGAGTGAGGACCTATTGTCTTAGACTATACAGTTACCAGTGGATGAGGAGAAAGGTCTGGAAGAATCCATGCTGAGCCATTGCCAGGACACCCTTTCAGGACTTAGATTTCCAGGAAACTAAAAGGCAACTTTCACTTTTACATGATCAGCTCTGGGACATTAGAAATCCTGGGAATGGACACATTTTTGTAATGAAAAGCTTGAAAAGAATAAAGAACACTTAAGACATATTTTTTCAAAAGTAGGTGCAAGTCCCTGAGTGACCACCGGCTTCCTGCTTCCTCACAGGAGAGCAGACGCCTCTCTGGCCAGCTGCCCAAGGCCAGCCGCCCAAGGTCACGTCCAGAGGTTGTGGTGATGCCACCACAGACCTGTCTCAGCTTTTAAAGGCGGTCCCCCTCCCTTCCACAACCTTGGTGGCTTTTCCTAAGTTCCCAGGGAGCAAGAAACAACAATTTTCTGCTTTTTTATTTTTGGAGACATTAATTCTGCTCCTATAAAGTCTCATTCAATTCTGAGTGAGGAGCATGGTTTCAAGGGCAGGAACACAAAAAAGAAAGGAATGGATGGATGGATGTAAATTTTTAAACTTCGGTAAGTAAAAAGCCACAAAAACATTAAAAGGCAAAGCACTAAAGGGGGCAAGTTATTAGCAAGATGTATGATGAAGATTTGTATCCTTGAAGTCATATTTATCTCATAAATGGAGGAAGAAAAGACAAACACGTTGCTACTAAAATGGTTCAAGGTCATAAAAAGGACAATTCACAAAGGAAGAAACACAATTGAACCATAAGCCTGTAAAAACAGAGTTGATTTAGAAATAACAGATAAAGAAATGTAAATTTTAACATAAGGCTCTGGTCATCTTTCATTTTAAAAATGAAAATTCTCATTGTTGATGAGGCTAAGGCTGATGTTCCACCAGCAGAAATTCAAAGAAGGGTGGAGTTTCTGGTGGACAACTTGCCACTGTGATTCAGAAGAAAATCAAAGATATTCTGTGTGGATCTATGCAGTCCGCAGCCAGTGTTGCAGCAAAGGAGACAGTGCAGGATTTATACCGAGACCAGGTGTAAGATTCCACACTGCAGGAGCCTTTATAAGTCAGAATTAGAAATAATTTAAGTATCCAAGATGAGGAAATGGATTAAGCAAATCACGACATGAATAAACTGAAAATGGGGGGAAGATCATGTAAATAACATGACCACATTTTTTTGCTTCTTAGTAAGCGGGAGGGGCGTGTGCTTGGGGCGGGTGGTGGTCCCTGCGGGCCGGGATAAGGGCTCTTATTCCATCGCCTGCGGTGGTTGTTGCTGTTCTGGAATCTCTCAACTGGACTTGTATTGCTGCTCAATTGATTTCTTTTTAATTCTAAGTGGGCCTCCCGCGTTCCGAGGGCGGTTCTGTCCCTGCTTCTTACGTGTGGTTTGGGGAAAATCCGGATGACTCAGTTTCTCCCCCACCGCATACCATCCTCCCTGCACCCTAAGGGTTGTCTCTCGATCGATCTTTGGTTGCTGACTCTTTCTGTCCAAACTGACGCTCCTGGGGCACCAGGAGAAACGGAAGGAAGAGTCAGCGCAGGAAGGAGAAGGTGTTGTTAGGGCTCTGGCTTTGGGGCCCACTCCCTGATGAGGAAATTCCCGACGTCCTGTGCCCACCTCCTCTCTGCAACAAGGTGAGGGGCCCCGAGAATCAGGCTGTGTTAACAGTGTAGCGCCCCGGCCCGGAGCCGGGGAATCAGAGCCAGGCCCTGGGCCAGGACGGCTGGACAGTGAGGCCGGGGGCTGGGCAGGGAGTGGCCATGGGCCGGGGTAGAAGCCCACGCAGCCCCGCAGCAGACAGCAAGCCCCGCGCGGTGTCTGCACAGCTCAACAGAGAAGTGGACAAGCAGTTGGTGGTTTCCATGCAACTGAGCATCTCGAACTGTTGGATTGGAAAACAGAAGCAATCCAGGGCGTCTCCCCTGCTCCCCCCAGCTCAGGTGAGGGTCCTGAGCAAGGGAGGTTCTGGGGTGGTCCTCCCACCCTGGGCAAAGCCAGCTGTCGAAAATAAAGCCCAGGCCCGGGGTGCCGCTCCCATCTTGGTGACACTTTCCCGGTGAGCCTGCAGGGTCCGCCCGAGCTGCAGCCCCCGCCCCATCTAAACTCAGGAGCTCCTCAAGCCACCTGGCCGCGCCCTCTGCCTCCACGCTGGCACTGCCGCTTGTGCCCTCCTGGCACCCGCCCACGGCCCAGGTGAGAAACCTGGCAAGGACCCGAGTGGCAGGTCAGACCGTCGGCTGAGCATGCTGGGCTGCGGGACGCCAGAGGCCCCTGTCTGCCAGGGCCGGCTGTGTCCACACGGGCGACTCTCAGCAGCCACAGGGGAATCAGCATCGGAGTCCACAGCCACCTTCACGGCCGGGCACAGACCCAGCGACGGGGATTTCCAGTTGTGAGTCGCACCCACACGTGGAAGGACAGGATCCCGCCGTCTGTCCCTATTGCGCAATCCCGTCACCTTTTCCCTTTTTTTAAGATTTTTTTTTTTTTTTTAGACTTTTTAATTGTCTTACATCACTGTTTGTTTTTGGACAACACTGGATCTCTCCCCTCAGGTGTGATCTCCACA